GACGGAGACAGAACCAGCCTCCGAAACGTCGTGGTTTTAAAGAACAGACGATGGAAAAAGTCTTGACAACGAATAATTTTAGGTGCAAACTACCGTCGTCAAAACCCTTTAGGATTGAATTAAAATTAATGTTGTTTCTTACAATTTTTTTATATTTAATTCCAGGTTCTTTGAACATTATTTGGGTATTAAAGCTTTTATAACAACACCATTAGTCAACTACAATTGCAGTATCAATAATAATAGCAGGATGTTAAGTATTTCTGTATTTTTGATAAGTAAAACCTTCTCGCTTGTAGCCAGTACGTATGAGATGTTTAGCTGTTGCAAGATCACTGGTTCGTGTTATTGATAAGGGGACAACGTTCCGGAAGTGCACAACCCAGTGCAGTGAAAATATCGAACCCTTTCACTTCCAAAGGACGCAATCTGCGAAGTGACATATTCATGCTACTGTTTGATGCTTCACTAGATCTCGCTGCCAGCCATGTGGCAAACAAATGACGGTCTACAGTAGGGTTTTACAATACGGGTACGGCAAGTGCATTATACGTACTCTGTTATCAGAATATGGACCCTGCAAGGCAAGAATATAAACGAATAGAAGCGGGCCATAGGCTCAGTTCAATCTAATGAACATTTTCATAACATATTTATTTTAGGTAAATTTTAATAATCTTTACACCCATTTAAGCCCACGTGTTGTCACTTCCACTGAGCTGTACCGACAAATTTTGAAAACATTTCTCATTACCACCATGTGCAGCACATATTATTCTCAATTTCAGCCACCAACGGACAGAGATATCTTTTTTTTTGAGGAAAATGCTGGAGTAGTATCTTCAATTCTGCAACGACCGCCTCTTTCTACATTAGTTTTAATTCATTGTTTATTAAATCATAACGTTGGACGCTTTAAAATACAGTTTGTGTTACTGAAAGCGGTGTTAATAAATCAAAAATAAATATAACTCTGTATTTTTCCCACTGAGCGTACACCCACTTTTAGATTTCATATGATACTAGGAATAATCCACGGTGGTCTAGCGGTTAGAACGCTGGCATTGTAATCCTGGGGTCTCGAATTCGATTCCCGGCGGTGCCCGAATTTATAATTTGTGTTGGGCAAGGCCGTGGTCTAGGCAACACGGAGTTTTCCTCCGGGGGCTTCTCGGTTTCTCCGTGGCATTCCAGAATGAACAGCTATTATTTACATTAAGAAGCTTATATTTGAAATTGAGTTGTGCTGTGTTTTCCTTTTTTACGTAGGAACTGAATTCTTACACGTTTATCTAGAAGACAAACACGCTTCAGAAAATTAATCATCCGAACGAAACAACGCAGAGATTGCAATTTATTCGACGTACGTTTAGCATTCTGACATAATGCCTCAGTTTGGTCCGTAGTAGTGGCACTCGGCCGTGTAAAGTCTGGTTCAACACACAGTGGTACATGACTCATACATCCTGTCTGACATCTGTACAAACAATTTGCTTTTAACAGTTATACCACTTCCCCACACGTGACCTTGATACCAAATATGGAAGTCTTAATTTTAATAATCTAGCTTACTGTCTGTATAATCTCTTTCCTTTTGAAGAGGGCACTATTCAAAAGATGGAGTCAGTTTCGGGGTACGCAGAGTTTCCACGTGCGTTCTTTGCAATACGGCATTCTAAACAGCTCTGACGAAGACATTGTACAGTTCCTACCACCAACAGTGAACAACATGAACGGAAGTTTTAAAATCTAATATTTATCTTTCTTCTAGACTGTTTGTCAGAAAATAATTGCTCACAGAATAGAACAGCTTCATATAAAGTTTCTTGACTCCGTTTCTACATATCGAACTTTTCGATGCTTGCTCCCTCACGATTTTCTGAATCCATCTGTCCCCCCCCACCCCCCACCCAAGTAAACAGATGACGTTTCCTAGGTAACAATAATGCCGAGTAAACAATTGACGTTTCCAAGGTAACATAACAATGCAGTTACACTTTTTCGTTTCACTTTTTTCCGAATGACACTGACCCTAAAATATAGACGTATTTACGTCAAAAATTTTCAGCTCCTAGTATGCGACGTCGCCGAGCACGCGTTCATGGTCCGCACCTTCAGTATGTACTGTTCGGTTGTATATTGCATAAAAAGGAATACTTTTACATAATATTTCCATAGCTGCAAGACCAAATTGGTTTAATAACAATATAAACAACAAATAAAATAAGTCGCCCCCGGGTGGGCTCGAACCACCAACCTCTCGGTTAACAGCCGAACGCGCTAGCCGATTGCGCCACGGAGGCTGGCAGCTTTTGGCCTTCTGACTACTGGTTAAGAATAACAAACAGTATTTTGTGATGATAATGATTCTCTTAACCAATGAATCCCTTTCAAAACGCAGTAAGTTCATGTGGATATCAGCCAATCTTGAAAGATATTTGTTGCTACCTTATGCATTGTCAGTCCCCTTCCCCTAAAACCTTAGAACTATGAGTAGTTATCTTACACACTTACTCATAAAACTGATAATGAACTGTTTGTTTCTGACTTCAATTCTTCCATCCGTATGTGACTGTGAAAACCACGACATTTTTCATTTATAATTATGTACCTTGGTTGGGTGAATTTATTATATTTTAGTATATTGGAGATATGACTTGGAACGAAGCAGCTTTTTTCATGTATTTTGAAAGCAATGCCAACACCAATTCTTGAAGACAGAGGCAGAGAAACTCCAAAACAATGGATAATGACACTCCATTCTCACGGTTGAACGCCCCAGAAACCTTCAATCTCTCTTGCATAACTATAAAACTGAATAATATACATAATTCAAATAATAATATAGGAAGAGTGAAAAAGATTCCAAAACAATTATGAACAATATATATATTTAAAAATGTGTGTGTATAAAAATGTTTCCGCCCGGGATCGAACCGGGGACCTTGCGCGTGTGAGGCGCACGTGATAACCGCTACACTACGGAAACGATGGAACAAATTGCAACCAGCTCTTCAGTCCCTGCAGTTGGACCCGGTGTGGTGAACTCGTAGGGAGTCTTTGTCTTCAGGGCCGAAGAACGTAGAGTAGGTTTCTAAGCGATGTTGTAGCCTCAACCCTTCAACCCTTTCCTGTTACTCGAATGTTTGTTGCTGTCATCAGAGAAGCTTTACATTGCCTTTTATTCTGAACCCAGTTGCTGACTTACAAATTACGCACTTGGTCTTGTATATTCAAAAGATGCACAATGCTATGCTAACTGATACGACGTCAATTAAGTGTTATCAGATCGGAAAAAAGCAATGACCATTACTGGAAGGACCAAAGTAGTTTTGCCCGCATCACAGACAATTACTCAGCTGCTTCTAGGGAACCTAAATCATCACCACATGTGTTCACACGAGTCATCCAATGGACACTATCCCAAACACACTGAATCTCGTCCACACTTTCACACACCACTTTAATATTGTCCTCCCATCTAGTTCTTGATCTCCCAAATTGCCTTCTCTTGTGAGATTTCATGACCTAAATGTCGTACATTTCTCGTCTCTCCATGCCATGCTAAATGTCCTGCACATCCCATTATTATTGATTAATTATCCTAATTACATCAGACCAACAGTATAAATTACGAAGCTTCTTACTGTGTAATTTTCTCCAAATCTTCGTAAAACAATCCGAACAGAAGAAAGGACCAAATAAAACGGACAATTACTGAACGGATAAATGCGGGATGACGGTTATACGGACAACAATAGAAACCTTAATCGGATTGGGTTAAGAAATCAGTGGACAGGTTGAACACAGCGATGTGTTTTTTATACATATGTTTGGGAATCGCTCAGAACGAGAACAGAGATCGAATATCCTGAATGTGATTTTTGTATTGGGATAGCATTCATAACCACATCATCATCTAACACTACTCAGAAGCTAGAAAACATAAAGAATTGTGAATTATTTGTGTTGATTGAACAGAGTTAACAAGTTTTAAACATAGTTCAAATCGGTATTATTATTAATTAATGCGGACATTATATTCTGTACTCTGATTTTTCTTTCATGAATGAAATCTAATCTAGTCCACGTCTATTCGACTTGTCATATTAAATGGTAGACGTGCATATACAATAACATCTCGATTTAATACGATTCCAGTGCACACTCTTTTTTCTCCTGCTATGTGTGACAAAGTGAAACTCGATGAAAGGGCCTCACTATTACATGCCAATTTCCGAATAACACCTCGGGCATACTTTTTTCGCCTGCTATGTGTGACAAAGTGAAACTCAATGAAAGGGCCTCACTATTACAAGCCAATTTCCGAATAACACCTCGGGCATGACCTAACCTTTTCACGGGTAGTATCCGGCCCCGTGGTTTGTGCACCCCTGGTATCGAGACCAGCTGCGAGATCTTGACACGGTAATCAAACTTCACGTTCCACAAAAGATGGGAATTACTGACCAGTTGAGCAACAATAAGCTTTTCAAGGACTCTTCCTCACAGAATTGATTCTGTGATGACACAAACGTGATGCATGAATACCTCGCTATTTTCAAAGCGTCAAGAAATCTGTGTTTTAGCGACGCTATTGTGATTGGAAACTCTTATAAGGACCTACCAGCACAACACTTAACGGTTTCAACGTGTTTCACAACTACCGCAAACAGGCGCAATGCAAACAAGACACTGTAACACCAAAAACAACTGAATATTATATCTGCAGATGTCACGTGGTCCACTCGCTGTCTTATCCCTGAAGACAAACTGAGGCAACAGCGGCTAGAAACTGGTTGGATGGACGAATGTACGAACGAACAATAGCTGGCCGTGCTTCGGGGCCACTAACCTCTTCGCTGCGTTGCCACGTGTGGGACACCCCTGACAGAATCGTGTTATTTACCTACGCAAAGTGACCCCCGGGTCTAAGCACCAATTCGCGAATGCAAACAGAACACATCGAGGTTTTGCCCCGTGTTTTCAGGGCCTTGCCCAAGATAAAGGAGGTTGATGGTCGTCTACAAGCCCCGGTCAACATTATCAGATTTTGAATGGAATAGTGCAAGAGCCCAAGAGCCGGTCCAAGCCAGGAATCGAAAACCGGTCGTCTAGGATCCCTAAAATTCAACAAAGGTCTTGAGGCCCCAACAAACCATTTGTTGGTCTCTTTCGTGACTACAACCAAATATTTTTATTGTGCTAACAAATTGCTGCAGAATAAATTTTAAGCTACATTTAAATGAGCCTTGAGCTCAAGTTGGGTAATTACAGACGTAAAGAGCTTGTTCAAAGTTAGAGGCTAATAGACCAAGGAATTCCAGAAAGTTACTACATCTTCTGGCAACTCGACTGGCGAATGGGTCCGTTCCACAGAGTCGCATTATTCTCACCCCATCGTACCAATAATTCGCGTGGCAATTCCATCCTGGCCTGAGAGAAAGGGGTAGATGTGGCTGTTATCCACAACTGCACAATTACTGGAAATCTTCTTTACAGATTCAAACTGCAGATTTCGAGTCTAACACGCGAGTTCTATGAGGGCCCACGTATAGTTTCTAAGGGACAGATGATACTCTTACAAGTAAGGAAGCTGTGCGATTTGTTTTCCGTTCCTAACTGATTCGGAGATTCAAGAATTAAAAGACCGCTTGAATGAAAAATGGTAGGAAAATTATGTGACGGTTTTGATTCTATTAATTCAAGAAAGTAAGTAATAAGAGGCTGGTAATCATCCAGGTCGTAAAATATCTGCTTTCCCTGTTACGATATCATCAGTTGAGTGCGTAAATTACGTGGTGTAGAATGATGGGATGATTTTTAGAGATAAAATGGGAAGAATTTGTAATGAAGCGATCGTGTTCTGAAGTAATCACATAACGACCGGAAGAAATTAACAGGTTATTTCGAACACTTGTGCAACAATGAAAATGGTAAATGTAAAGGAGTCTTTGCCATGCAGACGTATGGGGGAGCAGAGGCGAAATTCCGCGTATTCTTAACCTCGGCACTAGATGGAGGTTAGTGATTGCCGTCACTCCCCAGCCACTTTAACCTGGGGAAGGGACCCCCGGTGCAGACTGGATAGGACGCTGGTTGGGCCCCAGAACCGGTCTGGACTTTATAAAAAGAATAATCCTGCCCTGATACGAATCGAGGCCCAGTCGACCAGCCCGTAATCTAGTCATTTCACTGACTGGCGAAAAGTACAGTTCTTACCGGTCCAATTAACCCCTGAAGCTCTGACCGAACATGATTTTCAGAGATAAGTAACCCGTGCCTTCGTGTTCCTCTCTCTAATCTTCAGGTTTCAAGAGATTTCAGCGAGGGAGTGTAGCTCAGTTTCCGAAGAAAGATGGCAACGCTGCGCTGGTGGTGGATTCCGGGCCGTGATGTGACCTTGAGTTGATGCCCAGGGCAATTTCTACCTACTACTGTTCCATAGTGTCGGTTCGATCCCCGTGCAGGTGTGTTTATCTGAAAACAGATCAGACCATCGGTATGTGGTTCCCTGGAAGAGCAACCAGTCAACAAAATAGCTGACGGCGGTAACGAAAGACGTGGCTTCTTGCAAGGCTAAACCATTGCTGCTTACGAAACGAACAGCTGGAATCATTATGGCTGAAGGCCTGTAGGGTTCGGGGTAGGCGGGCTGTGCCCGTTTTAAATTTTACCCTTGCATTTGCCTTACAACTGAGGACAGGCGCAGAATATCTCAGTCGGCATAGGTCAGTTGTTTCTCACTTCACCGCAACCTCAGGGTCTCCTATACAATATGTTCCGGGGGCAATTCGCCCACCCGCTTAAGCTGATTACTCATCACCTCGTAAAGGCGACTGGATGGAATGGATGTAAATCCCCACGCATTCATAACACCGGCAAATGGAAGCACTACGCACGCATGCAAAATTATTCAAGACTGACACGCTTTGTGGGTACATTAATCAAATGATTTCAAATAAAAAAAAATTTTTTTACATGGTTTCGATTCGGAAAGTCCCACGTGGTTTCATCCCCTTTTCCGACAAAAATTTTTGTATCAGTTTTTCATCTGATCCAAGTTTGTTTCATTCACCTCCCACCTCATCCTCTTTCATTTGATCGCCCCATATCTATTTTGTGAAGCTCCTCATTATGCATTTTGTTCATAATCCTGTTATTTTCCCTATTTCAAGTTTCCATATTCTCCTCGGCACTGCATTCTCAAATAACGTTCTATATTCCTATCAGCGAGAGCTTAATTTTCAGTCCATACAAAACAACAGCCAGTAAGTATAATTTTATAGCCCATATTCAACTTTTAAAGTTTTAGATAAAGAACAGAAAGTTGAATGATTCTGAACTGTGTTAGCAATAATTCCAAAATGTAATCTACTCTTATTTCTCTGAGATTTGAGGTTCTCGCGGCTGCAATTATGCCTGCTGGAGTCAGTAAGCGTCTCTGAAACGTCGATAAATGTCCATCAGATTGCACGATTTTTCTCGTGATACGAACTGCATGCATCTTTATCTTATTTCTGTTAAATACCGATATTGATTAACTAATCTCCAATTCAAACACTTGCTCAGAATCGTAGCTGATGATTAACCCTTTAAATACGAAGGCTACCTAAATAACAGTAAATGAATTAGTTCGTACCGCAAAGAAAACAACACTGCACCATTACAAAGATCGCCTGGTTAATGCTGCTTCAGAAAATAATCCCTGATTACACTGACAATCATACGAAACACATTAATAAGAAAACACTTATTGGTTGTTAAAGCAGATGCCATATATAATTATCAGAAAGTTTCAAAGTTCTAATAATTCGTTTAAATCTTCATATTTAATTATCACTGGTTTAAATTGAATTGAGATGCGCTTTACAAGTCATCGAAAAATCTGTATTTGTGCTCGTAAGCCAAAATAGCTTATTGAGTATAATGAAATGATCAGGGTTCAGTTTTCGCCGGGGACAGGGATTTATTCTCCACCAAGTCCCGACCTTCTCTGGGGGCTGCCCAGAACTTCCACGATTGGTAACGAGGAAACATCCCCCGAGCTCAAAGAGGCTGATGCGTGAAGTGAACGAATCTTTTCCCATCTCAGGAATAGAAGGTCCTACCCTAAATTAGTCTACAACCGACAAACTATGGGCCCGTCCATGTTTGCCGGTACTGACAAAAGTGACCTTGGATCACATAGTTGCAACTATGATCTTAACTACTGTACTGTTGCACTTATTACTCCCTTCGTTGCCTTGCTGAGGTCGCCAACCGAGATGTGTCGTAAAGAACACCTTCGGAATTTTAGTGAACTCCAAACAAAACACTTCTTCAGTTTTATTAATGCCACTGTGTTGGGTAACAGACTACTTTCATGATTAATGCGGCACAAATTCGTAAATAACTCACTCAGAAAATGTGTATACGAAATCTGAGTACATTTACGCCTTTCGAGGCTGTCATTTCAGAATACAACTCTTGCCGTGAACTCGGGTCTTTTGTCAATACAGGTTCGCCTGTTTAACACAGGCAGGCGCTACACGTAAGGCCCACAACATAATGATTGTGCATGAGTTTCCTCCTTCCCCTCCCGGCACGGAAACAAAAGGTGAAGTGGAAATGGCGAGCGAGCGGCTCGCAGTTTCAAACGTGAATAGAAACAGAATCAAAAGAAATCCGTTCCTTTATGCCAGCCCTACAACACTCTTTACAACTTCCATTTGAAACACGAAACATGTATTCCTGCGTGCTTCTACACACTTTCTGCCCCGCTCCCTTTTGAAAGGAGAAGGAAGAACATTTCTGTCGTGGCCTCTACATGTTGTCTGATGCAGAACATCCACTCCCACGACTATTCCAATTGAATCACCCGTCAAAACATCCTACGTTCTTACCAGTGTCTCATATTACCGTTTCAAATAACCACAGGATACATCTCTGATCATTAAGTGACAATGAAGTGTGGTGGTATCTTTATAATAGGATCTGACAAGAGGAATGGAACTGCCAGGTTTACCCGCTCCATAGGCACACTCCTGCCAAAAAATGCGCTCAGTTCATACAATAGGCAAATTTCCTGTAAACGAAACAGTTGCAGGACTGCACAATCGCGGGTTTAAAATGTTACCAGATTAATAAATACGACACGGTGGTCTAGCGGTTAGAACGCTGGCCTTGTAATCCTGGGGTCTCGGGTTCGATTCCCGGCGGTGCCCGAATTTATAACTTGTGTTGGGCAAGGCCGTGGTCTAGGCAACACGGAGTTTTCCTCCGGGGGCTTCCCCGGTTTCTCCGTGGCATCCCAACAATTACTCCATTCACACACAGAAGAAGGCAATGGCAAACCACTTCGGGATCATCTGCCAAGAACGTATATGAAAAGGTCCCAGTCCGAGAAAAGGATCGAAGGATCCTGTTCATATGGACCTGACCTGTCGTCACACACAACACTAAATAAATAAATAATAGATACCTGTCTACCAGTTAGGTAAGCTGATGCTACTTAAGTGACGAACCAACAAACAGCTAACTGACTTCTGTTTTGCATGAACTGATTTCCCACGTTGTGATGCTCATG